AAATCATGAGGACAAGTTGGGGACATTTTTTAATTTGACAAGCCGCCGGCTTCCAGTCCGCATCAAGGCCACTTGTAAGATATGATAATGGTCCTCATGCAAACTCAGGTAATTAAATTGCACGTGGGACCTAATATCCTCATCACAGCTATCTTACAGCAGATGCTGAAGAAAAGTACCTCGGAGTCAGGAGCCATCATTCCCTGAAAGTTGTACAGCAAGAGGGAGGGAGGGAGGGAATTATCAGGGGGAAGCGCCAATTAAGCCATTACGAGTATATAGCACTGGGAAGGAGGGGTCAGGATAAGGATGGGACGCAGGTTAGGAATGGTGCCTTACCACTTGGACGGTCGGGGATTGAACGTCGACCTGCAGGAAGCGACACCGTCGCTCTACCATCCAGCCAATTCCAAGTGATTGGACAGGAATGGGGAGGCCTGGTAGCCTGATGAATAGCGCGCAGGACTCGTAATTCTGTGGCGCGGGTTCGATTCCCGCACCAGGCAGAAATAAATGGGCAAAGTTTCTTTCACCCTGAATGCCCCTGTTACCTAGCAGTAAATAGGTACCTGGGAGTTAGTCAGCTGTCACGGGCTGCTTCCTGGTGTGTGTGTGTGTGTATGTGTGTGGTGTGGAGAAAAAAAAGTAGTTAGTAAACATTTGATTGACAGTTGAGAGGCGGGCCGAAAGAGCAAAGCTCAACCCCCGCAAACACAGCTAGGTGAATACAACTAGGTGAATACAGGAGCTGCAGTAAAAAAAAATCTTGGAATTGTAGCGAGTAGATTATCCCAATAATATACTCGCTCCAAATATAGTGTTAATGTTCCTGTCAACCTTTGGAGATGAATGAGGTGAGGCGTTGCCCGGGCAACACGGTGAGATGCCCGAGCAATATAAGCAGCGGTGTAGCGAACATTAACTAGTCTACTTTCAAGTGTGGTCTAGAGCAGACACTTGCGAGATACTGTACCGACGCTCAGTGCGCTCAACTCACACCAAAGTATCACGGTGTACTTCTGTATATTCGACCAAATATATACATAGTATCTTAGTGTCTGTGTTTATTTGTCACCATACTTTACGTAACAATAGAACCGTTACATTGGTGACCCAGTGAGTGAAAAAGAACACCTAGTCACAAACTAGATCTTCGTCTACCAGGTTTCCAGCATACAACGCAGATGAGCCAGAATTTTGGTTCATGCAGATGGAGGCTATTTTCGACCTTCACGAAGTTTCGACGATACCCAGCCACGATGGACTACAACATGGACTCTCACTGACCTCTAGTGCTACTGTTTGCTGTGATGGAATACTGCCAACACCCTCGCCACAGCTATGATTTTCATCGCGTCCATCTCTGCAGTTTCATCTACTACGGCTTGCTGCTCCACGATCGTTACTCACTCATCTGACAGCCTCATCAATGATTACATCATGCTGGATCTACAGCTTGTCCTGCCGACTCTCCGTCGCTGCCAGGGCACTGCTTGTCCTACGCCCACGACAGCTGCTCTGTCATCAGATTCATCTACACGTTCACTGCATTTTGATACTCAGCCGACTCAAGCCCTTTGTGCAATACAGGACTTACAGCTTGCGTTTCCGACTCTTCGTCGCCTCCAGGACAATTCAGCTCTAGCAGTGATTACCTCGTTGTCCTAACTACGTGCCTACATTACCTCCTAATGTCCTGGTGCCCGAGCCCATCCGCCCCGGATCTAAATGCTCCACCAGCGACCAAGGACGCAACAATTATGCACATTCTTCTCTCCTGCTACACCGAGCTTGTCCACACACTGCCTACATCTTTTGGTACCAGACTACAATTTCCACAGTCAACAATGTAGTACTCGGCGTGTACAGTCCTAATCAACCCAAGACGCTACAGCTTAGACACAGAGCAGACAGCAGACTACGACCGCATCGAGCCGCCACGCTCTCGCTCCCCGAGTTTAGACACTCACAAATCTCAATCGAGCCGCCACGCTCTCCCACATAGAGCTCCACGACTCCGGCCTCACTCAGCTCTCTGCTCTGCTCCAGGCTTCGTCTCAACGTCTGCAACACTGCTAAATCCAGAGACACATCCGCCGACTACGCAGTTCACTTTTCGACCACAGTTACCAGCAGCACCGCCACCTACGACAACGGACGATCCTGTACGACCTCCCACCCTACAACCCCAGTTACCAGCCGCACCACAACCTGATCCTACGACGACGGACGATCCTGTGCGACCTCCCACCCTACGACCCCAGTTAGATGACATCAGCGAAGAGGAGGAAGTTAACTTTGATGGTTATGTAACGCGAGCAGGGCGTACAATTCACCGACCAGCTAAAGTATTTTTCCTTTCATCCCCTGGGAGGGGGAGTTCTGTAGCGAGTAGATTATCCCAATAATATACTCGCTCCAAATATAGTGTTAATGTTCCTGTCAACCTTTGGAGATGAATGAGGTGAGGCGTTGCCCGGGCAACACGGTGAGATGCCCGAGCAATATAAGCAGCGGTGTAGCGAACATTAACTAGTCTACTTTCAAGTGTGGTCTAGAGCAGACACTTGCGAGATACTGTACCGACGCTCAGTGCGCTCAACTCACACCAAAGTATCACCGGTGTACTTCTGTATATTCGACCAAATATATACATAGTATCTTAGTGTCTGTGTTTATTTGTCACCATACTTTACGTAACAATAGAACCGTTACAGAATAATAAAGCGAATACTGTATGTGACTTCAATGGAAATAATGTAGTTATTCAACTGCATAAGTCTCTGGTGTGCCCCACTTGAATTATTGTAGCCAAGCTTGGCGCCCCTCATCTTTAGACAGACATAGGTGCTTAATATTTAGAGAAAGTTCAACATGGGGCAAGGAAAATCCTTCCAGAACTAAGTCGACTCTCATACTAGGAACGATTGAGTGGCCATAGGGCTAACATCACTGGCTTGTTGAGCTTAAAACCGTTGCTCCTTGTTTGTGTTACATCTGACCTTTTGAAGAAATTTACACATCTTTCAAATTGTTCAGTATATGGGATTAATGGTCAAATTTTTGTTAAAATGTGGTAAAAAATGATAGAACTGTTTGTCAAAGACTCGAGTCGGATTGATGATCGCGAACGTAAATAAGAGGACCAGCCTCTCCTCACGTGGCGGTCATCAGCAGGACCTTGGTTACAGCAAGTGATTTTTCCCTCGATTGTCCTCGCCCCCTCAATCACTCAACAACATCAAGCGATTATATAAATTAGTGATACCGTGAGTATGCGATATACCTAGGGATTTAACATGTGGTGTTGGGTATTTTGTAGTTTGAGTGTGGTGAAATATGATGGTGGAGGCGCGGCGGTAAGGAGGTTATTGTTAAATTCTACACTGGTGTTTCCGACAAAGCTCGCTTTTAATTTGTCATAACTGAACAGATGATTAGATTAGATTGGGTTAGGTTACATTAGATAGGTTTTAAATGCTATTGCCCATAGCCCACAAGCAATCCAGCTGGGATCGCCCCATTGTAGACCAAGCAGCTGCAACAGGCCTAGAAGCTGCATGACACTGCTCGACTTAGTCAGCAACCGGCACGGGTTTCACACCGCAGGCCCTCCGAATTGCCGTGGCTCCCGCCTCGCTGCCCCAATCCACACCGAATACATGTGTATTTGCGGCGAGGCAGTGACCGACAGGTATGGATGTCACGGCCTTCTCTGCCAAAGGACAGGAGGATGGCATGCAAGACACAGTGAGGTTAATGACATTATTAAGAGGAGCCTTACCACAGCCGGTTGTCCAGCAGAAAACCTCATTACCTAATGCCCTGCAACTCTGATGAGCCTGTCGGTCGCCCTGACGCGATTACGGTGAACCCCTGGACGAATGGCAGACAGTTGGTGTGGGACTATACTTGCGTTTCAACTTTAGCCAACACCTACGTTGGCCGAAGTTGGCTTCAACTTTAGCCATCACCGATGTTGACGTCCATGCTGCACAGGCAGGAGGTACTTCCAATCACTGGGAAGCAGCCAAATCTCGTAAATACAAAGTTCTTGATCACCACTACAATTTTGTTCCCATTGCCAATCATATTTCAAGTGTAGTGAAATATGATTGTGGAGGCAGTTTATGATTAAATATGACCCCACTGTGCTAGGGTTATGATTAAATCGGACGCAAGGTTTAGACAGTTTATTTTCTAATTGTATTGAAACTATAGTAATTAATTAGGCTGTGTTAGGTTAGACAAGTTTGTGTTAGGCAGGCAGGCTTTCAAATTTATTGGCAACCATCTTTGGTATGATGTGACATTCCTTCATTAGAGGACCCTGTATATTGAGTAAACTGCTTTTATAATTTGATTAGGATAGGTTAGGTTGGGATAGGATATGATAGCCGTGTTTAAAGAGTACCGATGATGTAAAATCATACAACTTTCCACCTTCTTTGAACTCTGCTACCATGATAGAAATGATTGCATATATGGACCATTTGTCTGTAAAATTTTCTGTTACTGGTTTTGTACAGTGCTATACAATACGCATCACACAGTATCATGCATTATGTCAAATTGTTTTAGGTTTCAAAGTTCATATTTGCCTGTTTAGATCTGGCAAGTTTTATTTTTTCTATTTACACTTTTTTGCCCCTGTTGTAGCAGTCAGGGAAGCTGTTGATTACCCAGTCAGTAGTTAGCTGAGTGATAATTGATGTTGCATTATGTAAATTGATGTTTGGAAGGGATTACAGTATTAGAGTAATGTTAATTTTTTTGTAAGATAGTGAGTGATCCCTAGGTGGTGGCTGGAGTTTAAACTCATCACTCATCCTTCCCCAACTATATGATCAGGCTACAGTACAGTATTTGAAATATTTTTCATGATGGCAGTCATCAGATCCTTGAAGGAAGAATTGTGTCTGTACATACATAGGCCATTGGCTTGAGGGATAACCAAGAGACTGGCTCAAGCATTTCACTTCAGTTGAAGCTCAATTTTTTTCTGTCAAGATATAATTAAAGCCGGCAAAAAACTTGAAATTTTGAAATGGGTCATGTCTTGCATGTACATTATTATGGCGATTGTTAGAATATGAAAATAATATTTTATACTTCAAATTATAAGATTATTTAAACAATATCAAGATGACCATGGGGCAAAAGTTCTTCCTATGCGTTTTACTATCAATACTGTATTTGGAATGTAGCCATCCCCTGTCTCTGCACTGAACACATAACTAAGAGTGTATGTAAATCACCGGCAGATCTCTTACCAGTGTGTTGTCTCAATAATTTTGCATGTTCCAAACAGATACTGAAGCCAAAAAAGTTTTTTTCTTCCACAAACGATGGCAAGTGACAGCGGAGAAGAGTATTCGGATACAGAGTACTCGGACATAGATGAGCGAGAAGCCAATGAGGAGAATGATTCAGACGTTGAGGTAATTTTCTTAAAATTTGTCTGATGCTGTCAGTAGATTATATATATAGACCCCTAAAGTAATTTATATTTGTTTGGAACAAAGAATAACTTGTTTTAAATTATTAGTGCTGCACAGTTTTTTTTGTTTAAATTAAAAAAAAATTAATTAAAAACTAAATAAAAAAGTATTTAGTAGTAGGCTATCCTTATACTGTATTGATGAATGGCTTGATTAAAACTGTTTTCTCAACAGCTGCAAGAGGCATTTTCGAGAGGAGAGCTGAAACCAGGTCTCCACGTCCTCAATGAGAAAGTAATTAAAGAGTTTAAAAATGATGTGGTAAGTTGAAATTTTCTATTCATACAAATAATGTAGAAAAAATGTAGTGAGGCCTAAAGACTGTGACTGAATCATCTAAGAAATATCACATTTGATTCTATTTTCAATGGGTTGCTGATAAATCTCAACAATTGAACTACTCACACTTGTGTACTTGTCCAGTCTATACATGGAAGTTTTAAATGAAAATGACAGAAAGGGGTGATACTTAAATAATTTGTCTTTGTATTTATTCAGTAGAATACATCTACTCTGTAGATGTATTCTCTAACCCAGGTCTCTTTGATTGTGAGTCAAGGACATACGACTATTTTGCTACAGGACTCATTTTGGTGCTACACCCCAGGCAAGGCGGGGGGGGGGGGGGATAGAACTCCCAGAACAAACCCGCTCCAGGTATACAATTGCCCAACCACTTGGGCTGGATGGTAGAGTGACTGTCTCGCTTCATGCAGGTTGGCGTTCAATCCTTGACCGTTCAAGTGGTTGGGCACCATTCCTTCCTCCCATTCCATCCCTTATCCTGAGCTCTTCGAAGTGCTATATAGTCATAATGGCTTGGCACTTTCACCTGATAATTCCTTTCCCTTCCAGGTATACAAGACCCATGTTGGTGCTACAAGATCTATACGTAGGTATCATGTGATTAATTCTATTTTTCTCCCACAGAATGGCTTGAAGCAAAAGTTAGCAGAGTTTAAACTTTCTCTGCCTTGGACTGAACGGTTTGATATTACCAATCCCCCTGCACCCCTAGCACCAGAGCTTGATGCAGAGGTTAGTGTTTTTGTTGTATATCTTACTGGGATGTGGTTTATCACAAGTCGAGCCTGGCCTCAGGCCGGGCTCAGGAGTAGAACTACCAGAACCCTCTCCAGGTATGGTTAAATCCTACACAAGATGATTTGACAGCTTATTTTCCATTTGTTAAAACAATATATATTGTTAGGTTAGGATGTATTAAGTTGAGGTATGCTAGGCTTGGTTTGGTTAAATTAGAATGTGATGTCAGCTTTTGGTCAGTATCCCAGAATACAACATGCAAAATGGCTTCAAAATTTTGTTTGGTTTTATTTAATAGGGTATAATCATTTATTTTTGCCCAGTGCATATTATGACCAGTTTGAAAGTACTGTACAGTAATATCATATAAAGACATCTGGCATATATTTTCCTATCGTAGTATGTATGTATTGTTATTCTATATACCTTACAATCCCCTCCATCTCTAACTCTTTTTTTCTCCTTCCATTTTAACACCACCCTCTGTTATAGCCATCACCACCTATTATAATCACCTCACCCATTACAGCCACCTCCAATATAATCACCATAGCGAGCAAGTTTTAAAATGTGTGAACTTAGCACCACACAGGTAGCATTAATCATATGTGATGGTTGAGTGGTGCTGGCTCTTTACGATGTTTTTGAGTGTAATTACCTAAGTGTAGTTAGAGGATGAGAGCTGCGCTTGTAGTGTCCCGCCTTCCCAGCACTCTGTCATATAACGCTTTGAAGCGTTATATGATAAAGATATATATATAGTGTGTGAAAGATATGGTGAGTGATGCAGTTTTGAATATTATTTTCCTATGCTGCTCTCCTGTCTACTCAGGGCTGATGCCACTCACCCCACAAAAGTAGGAAAAAGGAGTAATAATAACATGTATTAGTCTTCTTGAATTTTGACAATGTATTTGTTAGAAAAGTAAAATTTTGATTTCTGAATATTTCTTTCATGCAGATTGTGGAACATGCACAGACAAGACAAAAGCGCATGAAAAGCCAGAATAAGCATTTCACCCTTGAGGATGACCCAGTGCATAATGACTTCACCCGAGAAATGACATTCTACAGACAAGCACAGGCAGCGGTTATGGATGGCTTTGAACGCCTCGGTAGCCTTGGCCTCCCAACTCTCAGACCAAATGATTACTTTGCTCAGATGGCAAAGAGTGATGAACATATGCAGAAGGTGAGAAGACCCAGGGTTTGAGCCTTGGATGGGATGGGATGATTGGTTACCATAGCTTCACTGTTTACAGAGTAATAATTAGGAACCTGGTTGTAAAATGAGGAGTGGATTGTGTATAGAGTAGAGCTCTTAATGCATTTAATCCTTTAGCTATTAAGTTGTATGATAGTGTATGTACAAATTGTGGTGTTGCAGATAAAAAGTGGTTAATCATGGGGGTAATTATGAGAGGAAAGAGAGAATCAGATGTTACCTATGATATATCAGTGGGGATGGTGTAGAAGATAAGGGGTGGTTCATCTAAAAAAAAAAAAAAAAAAGTTTAACAAAGGCAACACAGTATGATAAGAAAGGGAGAATGGAAAGTGATGAAGGTGTATTGTAAACATGTACCACATCACTATTATCAGGTTTTATAACACCTTGCATAAAGAGCATCATGTTTGTATGTCATAAGTGTAGGTTCAGTGGGGTTCTGCACCTCAAATGGCACGAGGTGTTAGGCACAAGACCGAGCCTCTGGTGAATCGTAAGTGAAATTGTTAGTTTTTAAAAGACAAATTATTCCAAATATTAAAACAAGATTATTGTTTTTAGAAAAGCTTTAATCATCTTTTAAAATTCTGCAACAGTATTCTGACTAGATATGTTTGGTTCGTCATGATGTGAACTGTTTTTATCTGCCCACACCTCACTTGACATTTCCCTTGTGTGGCTTAAACATAGCTTAAAATGTTTATGAATATGTTTAGGGGGATATAAAAATAAGTTGCCTCAAATGAGCCAATAGGCATTTACGATTCTTTATTCCTATGTTCTTATATACCTCTATTCCCCACAGAAATATGAAACAGGAGTATTGCTAGTAATATATGTGACTGAAGAAATGGGGAAATTACCTAAGCTCATTTCTGATGGCTATCTTGTCTTGTCATTTGTATTAAAATTTTCTCCTCATTCAAAAGGTTCGAAAAAGACTGATGCAAAAACAAGTGGGACAACAAATTAGTGAGCGAGTCAAGAAGATTCGTGAAATTAAGAAGTATGGAAAGAAGGTTCAAGTAGAAGTTGAACAACAGAAGCACAAGGAAAAACGGGAAATGTTGGAAAAGATCAAGAAGTTCCGAAAGGTATGTTTACTTCTTTATAACAAAAATTTATGTGTCGTCTTGGAACTACTTTGAGTTACAGTATCATTATTGTATTTCTTGAGTTTATTACAGAGTACAGTATCCACTCAATTTAACGGCCTATATGGGGCTGAGCCCTATTCGTTATTTCCGGAGCTCCGTTATTTCCGAAGTTAAGTCGGGTCGGGTAATTTTTCAAGTATCATTCAGGTAGGATATATTTTATACTGTATAACTAAAATTAAATAAAGTTCATTGTGTAATTGCATTCCAATTTAGTGCCACACCGACGATTAAGCCAGTTGTTGGTTGCTGAATGGATGATGTGTGAACACGGTCTGATCAAGCCCAGATGGGTGGGAAAAAATTGATTCATTCCTTTGTATTGCAAAATATTTCATGTATCAATCAGCAAGTTAATATTTTCTCAATAAAATTTTAGAGATGTGTTTTGATTTACCCTGAACAGTGCAGGTAATGTATTTTTAATGTTACAACACAGGCTGTGGCGGCCATGCCATAACAATGGCGATCGAGCCTTGTCACTGAGAGCTAGCCAAGACGAAATATTTTGAGCTCACCTATTCTCTGCTGACGATAGAATATACATTTGCAGAGACTAATATGTAGCTTTTGTTGAAAAAAAACAATATCTTGTAATACTATAATAAAATTGGTAAATTGACTTACTTTTAATGAAGCTGAAGATTACGAAGCTGTGAAGATTACGTCATCCTCTGCAGCGCTTGTTTTATATTGTTTATATTGTATACAGGGTACATACAGTATGTACACTTATTTTCAGGCATATTTTAATAGAGTATCCTTCTGTTTCTTGATGTCACTTACTGTACTTTTCCCGATGATAAACTCTGCTGCTGCTCGTGCATGAGAATATCCTTTATCAAGTTTCTTAATTAACTCCAGCTTCTGTGCAACTGTCAGCGCTTCCTTTGGGTAACTTTTGGCATTTTTGTAATTAAAAAGATCACATTACAGTACAGTAATATCCTTCACAATTGAAGCTAGCCGCGCGAGTTCAAGTAAACAATGGGAACACATGGCCCGGCGGAGTACATTCTAGGTTCGTGGGAAAAAAAATACCTAGTGCCTATACTATAAAAGGTATTTAATAAGAAAACAAAGACTTTTGCTTAATAAAAACTGTTTCAAAATATTTTATTAATAATAATTTACAATTTTCTTCATTAAAGTGAATCATTTTAAAAGTATATTAAGATGTAATATATGACTCTGGACGATCCAGGTCGGTGGCCTGGTCGCCATGTGAGGGGACGCTGATGCCACAACAAACCCAATACTGACAGACCGTCGGTAATATCGACCGCAGACCGGTATAGCAGTCTCCAGATACTGGTCTCCCAAACCGGTTGTTAATACCGGCAGATCGGTATAAAAGAGGCCGTTAAATTGAGTGGATACTGTACAGTTGTTTTTATGCTCAGAAGAGTATTTTCCTTTAAGTTTGTTTTGAGGACCTCGTTTAAGTCTACATATTTCTTCTTTTTAAATCATGGGTGCTTTTATCTTACAAGGTATATGAAGAAACTTTGAAGGGGAAGCCTTTCAATGATTGGCATGTCAAAAGAATGTCCTTGTAGTAATTAATGTGGTATTAACTGAATTTTTCTTCTTTAGGGCAAAACAGATACTATAGATTTCTTGGAGGATGGTGCTCCACTGCGCGAAGGAGGTAGCAAGACGAAATCTCAGCTCAAAAAGGACATGAAGCGGTAAGATGGTACAACTTGTACTAAACCCCACATTAGATGTGTGTGCACTAAGATGGTAAAGTCTATTGTGAACTATTATCACGTAGCATTTGATAATTGTTCAGGATGGATTGAAACAGGTCTTCACTTCTCTAATGTGTGGGTGTTGTGTGCATTTCTTTTGACCATGGAACAAACTTTTCTGCTTAGCATCTTCAAAGTTTTATCAAATGAATATCTGTTTTTAGTTCTATTACTTCCCATATTTTTTCACTCAAACAAAATATGAGAGATAATTGAATTGCAACATTGTTTACCTGATAGTTTTTGATGGGTTCATTGTTATTAGTCTGCAGAGAGGCTCATTTCATTGCAGGTGGGCTCATTGTTATAAAATGCACAAGACAATGGAGGTGTGTGACAAGTGTTTGGAAGTGTTTGTAGTCCCAGTGAAGTAGTGGTAGGACTCTCGCCTTTCATTTCGTGAGCGTTTTGTCTGGGTTCGTATCCTGGCCAGGGAGGATTTATTAGGCGCAAATCCTTAACTGTAACCTCTGTTTAGCCCTTAAACTGTGCATGGCGTATATATACGCCATGATTAACATGTCCCACGGCGCGCATGTCGTATATGTACGCCATAGGGTGCCAGGCACGATTCAAAGGGCCCGCGTCTACACGGGGATCACATTAGCTTCCTCAGGGCTCTTGTAAACAGACCCATGTTTAAAAAAAATTGTGGACAATATTCTCCGGTGTGAGAGCCACAGTACTGTTGGAGCAACCAAGGCTGGCGCATGCAGCATGACCGAACAGCATTGCTGTTT